AAGAAGAACAGGAGGAACAGGCATATAATACTAGTAATGAAATAACTGTAGGGCATAATCCTTCATTGATTACAATAAAGCTAATTGGTGTAAATATGAATTGTATTAACTGGGTATTCCATATCATACAGTTAATAATAATTAGAAATAATAAACATTTTACAGTTAATACCAGTGCAATCCATTACTTGTTTTATTTGTACATATATGTTCCTGTTTGTAAGAAATAATTTTTCATGGTGAGAGCCTCCTCACCTATAAAATTAGTATTAATTATTGTATTTTACTTTGAATATACTTTTTGGAGAGTTGAGAAAATGCCACATGAACATGCTACTTAGTAAGGTTACAACTTTATATATTGCTGATATTTGATAATACATTATATTAAAATATAATTTCCAACACTACATATGTGGTTGGGGAGAGCATGAATTAAACGTATCAACATACATGCCTTCATTTGTAAACATATCTAAAAGATTTAAACTATTGTAAGTTGTTTTTAATTGCAGATTTAAAAAGTGAAAGTCTTTATCATTATTTTGCAGGATTAAAAAAACCAAACTGAAGTTAAATTTAAGAGCTAGTCTTGGAATGGATGAAATATGTTCATTCGGCCCTGTATCAAAATAATTTGAATATGAATATTCTCTGTGTTTAGTGTTGTAGATTTAATTTTTATTTAAATCATTAGCCAGTAGTTGCTTGTAGTCATATTTAACCAAAATTTTGCCAAGTACCAACGGCATAAAACAGTGGTTCTCAACCTTTTCTTCACCAAGGACCCCCTTTAAATAGCTTTTGTGGCCACGGACCCCCAAGATATAACTCAATATTTACATAATCTTCAAGACTTGGTGAATCCCCTGTGATGACATTGCGGTCCCCCAGCAATTTACAGATCATAGGTTGAGAACCATTGGCATAAAAGTATCTGGGAAAGGAGATTGTATGAACATCTATTGCATTTTGCTGAACAAGTATCAGTGCATTGCTTTTGACTATAAAGGAATATAATTGAAAATACAATGTTTTTTAAAAATATGGTTAATATTTCAATTTGTTTCTAAAGTTCCTATAAAAGATATGGAGCATCTGTATTAAGATTTTAATGTACTTTCCAAAACACAGATTAGTGTACACTGACAAACCAAAACTGGAAAAATATAGGAGATATATTTTATGAAATATTTCCTAATATTTTTTATTTTACATAATATTTAAAATGAACAAGTAGCACATTAATATATATTTGTTATAGTTCCTGTACAAGTTATACAGTACACTTTTTTTTCTCCAAAGATTTTCCGCTTCGAATTATGAGGTTTTCTTAAATCAGAAGAAATGGGATGTTGAAATAAGGGACAAATGATAAGAGATAACCACTTAAATGAATAAATAAACTTGGGCAACAATCTCTCTCCCCTCCCTCCCCCCTGCCCCCATGTAGTGCTTGATTTTTATGAAAAAACAGCAAGATTTTTGTTTTAATTTTGAAGATCTGTTTTTACTTTACACCCAGTGGACACGTTAGCAAAGATTATGCAGGAATCAGAGTTATATATGACAGTTTTAAGTAAGTATGACCTGAAAATGAAGACTATGGATTTATTTCCTAATTTGTAAAAATGTATATTAGTATGAAACCATAATATCTGGGAAATTTCTACAGCATTTAACTGGCCATCTCCCTTATAGAAATGTTGCAAAAAAAAATCTAACAAGTTACAAAAATCAAATTATAACATTTTTTTAACATTTGTCATTTGTGTTTTAACAGTTGGAAATGGAAGATGAAGATACTATTGATGTGTTTCAACAGCAAACTGGTGGCATATGCTAAGTGTCCTTTTCATTTCGGAAGAGGAATACAACATGTCACCCACTTCATCATCTGTCCTTGGATTTGCTATTAAATAGTAAACAAATGAACATGCCTATCATACAGGAATCTTCTCATGTTCTGAGGACACTTATCCAAATCCTTTTCCTGTCCCTGATATTCTGCGTGTGCAAGTTGAAGCTGTATCTATGGAAAATAACTTCATAAAAATGGGCCCAGTAAAAAATTAAATTTTCAAATAAGTAATTACTGGTTGTTTACTGTCATCTTGTTCTTCTAAATGGTGACCTAAATACCAACCTACTGTACAATGAACATACTTAGTGCTGCCTTTAGTTGTTACTGTTTTATCACTTAATTATGACACTGTAAATATTGAAATACTTTTTCTTTGTGATAGGGTTTTTTTCTCAAAAGATGTTTGGGTCAGAAAAGAATTTTATCATAAACAATTATTACTCAAACTGTTAATGGGGGATATACGAAAAGAACAATACCTGCAGAATGCTGATTATAGTGGCAGTTAAAGGTAATGCAAATGTACATGTGCTTTTTCATAAAATAGTATAGAATCAATTTTTAAAGTAATGGAAAGTTATTGAGTTTGTCAGCAATTACACTATTTGCATAAATAATATTCCACATTTACTATAAATTTCACATATCCAGGGTGGAGTACCAGAGTATTTGATAATTTTTACATTGATTGATCGGGATGTTTTAAGAAGCTCTCCTGTGGAATTCTTGTTAATTGTGCAACTCTTGTTTCCTTGCACAGGAAAAATTTTCAGTAGATAGTTTTCACCCAAAGCATTTCTTCAATGATTTATTGGACAATAAAAGATACATACCATTTTTTGTTAAAAGTTGACTTTATAGGCTCATTGCTTTATAGCCTGATCTGGGATTCAAACAGCTGGGTATTGTATTCTGCCTATCCATTAGGATCTTATGCTTCCTTTGTTCCAACCACTACCTGGGAAACCCAGTGGAGCCGAATGCAATACAAGAGTTGAATTAATCTTCTGATGAGTAAATTAAATCTTAACTTTACAAAACAAGGAATTTCAATATTAGTGCTACTAAATGTGCAAGTATACCATAGGGAAAATATTGAATGTGTAGGAATCTGTTCCTCAAATATTTTACATTTAAATGACTGAGTAGTTACATGTGATTTGGATGCATCTAAATTGAATTAAAACTATTTTGTTTACTTTTTGTAAGCTTTTTCATTGCTGCTTGGGAAAGTACATTTCTGCCTTTTATATCTATATTTAACAGTACTGGTTTGCAAGAAATCCTTTTGAGAAGATTGCCTGTCTCAAACTATTCCCTATAATTGTAAATGGTCCAGGAAGGGATATTCATTTAAAATTGTTGTTTATTCAATTGTACAATACTTGTCCTTTATTACTGTACACAGTAAACTAATTTGGTACTCTCTCGGCTTATGTTTAATGCTGCTTAATTTCATATGACTATATTCAAAGCTGTATCACTGAAATGCTGACAATTCATATGAACATCTTTATTAAAATTCTTTTATTGAGAGTGGATTTAATATTTAGGGTATTAATGCATCTAGCAAAGAAATACAATTTCAATAACTGATCCATCTTGAAGGTTTATATTTGTTATTTTGTAGCAGATGCTCATGTGTTCCTTGTTCTAGCTCAGTGGTAGTCAACCTGGTCCCCACCGCCCACTAGTGGGCGTTCCAGCTTTCATGATGGGCGGTAGGGGTTTTGTCCCCTATTTTACAAATCACCATTAATGTGGGTGGTTAGAGAAAACTTTACTACTAACAGAGATGCAAAAGTGGGTGGTAGGTATAAAAAGGTTTACTATTTAGCTTGATCTAATTGGGTAATAGAAATGATTGCTATAAAAAGAAGAGAAATCTTGATAGTGAATTAAAGAGCAAGACCATGTTTTCCATTCATTTTTCCAAAAATAGTTGCCCACTAAGTATACCTAATTTGTTCCTTATGTTCTTAAATTTTATATGTCTATATACATTTTTTGAATTTCATATTTGATGCCATTAAGTTATGGGCTATTCCAAAATTTGCATTTGGAAGTGTCTTTGGGTAACTAAACTACATCCCTCAATTTTCTATTTTGTATTGGATAATCTATTTGATTCCATCTAAGCACTGTTCAAATAAAATGAAATTTAATTTACACCCCACTTTTCTCTAGAGCACAGGTTGACTTCACCGAAGCTAATTCATTTAATCCAATAACCTAGTACTGTAGAGAAAGTTATTTTTTTTTCATGGTTGAGAGTTTCAAATTTGGGTTTCCTCACTAACCACCCGGTAATAAAACTTTGTATTAGTTGAAGTAGATACTAGCAATTAAAGAACTTTGCAAAAGTAACTGGAACCTATTGTGTTCCTTGGTTGATACTACTTATGAAAGTATTCTTTTCAGTCTAGTGACTCAGAAAAATGTTAACTCTTTAAAGAGCTATGAATATCTTCCCATGATGCTCAGTCATGAAACATGAGAAAGCATTGAAATACTTAATTCCACCTAAATTAAAATCCTCAAAAGCACTAGAAACGTCATAGTTTGTGGTAATAGATGGAATTGTTTTGGTATGCATGCAAATTGAAGGCTTTTTTCCTATAATTGACAAAATCTGAGTTAAAATGTAATTGGCTCCTATAATTCATTACCCAATTAGAGGGTACCCAACACAGCGAATGAGTGTGGAGTCATTTTTGGCAAATATTAGATTCGAGAGCAACAGGATTACTTAATACATTAAATATTTGAACTATCATAGTAAATTGCGTGGGCGGGGAAGACTTTAAAAAACTCCTGTCCTGTGGAGACACGCCTATTGGAGAAACAAGTATCTTGTCATATGCTTCCTTATAGAGATAAGTCCATTGTGTAGATGTGTATGTTTAGGATTCACGTTATATCTAATATCAATACAGAAGAGATGAAAATGTTTACTTCACTTTTGCAGTGAAACGTAGAACATTTATATTTCTCAGTCCCAATTCCGGCCTTTGCCCGTAGCAAACAAAGTCTACGAAGTTCAGTTACTATGGTTCACTCTACACGTTTTGTAGCTCTGCATGCTGCTTGCGAAGCGAGAGGGAGTAGATTTCGGTTGCGGTTGGTCTGTCTCTCTCTTTTATGGTAAAAGCCGCCCGGAAGTAGCATTTCGGAGAAGAAAACCTAAACGGCCAAGTTGGAAGGGCACCTGGGCTTTCTCGAGGCTACCTGAGCCATGGCGGGCACGGCGCTCAAGCGCTTAATGGCGGAGTACAAGCGTGAGTAGTTAGGTTTTGGGTGCGGAAACGGAGAGATCGGGATGGACTGATTGTCTCTCGGCTGTTTGTCTAGCCCGGCCGTGCGTTGACTCCTCCTGGGCCCGTGGAAATGTCCTTACGACGGCTTTACCTGGCACGGCGCAGAAACGGGGTCGGGGTCTTAGTATTGACGAGGAGGCTGCTGTGGGAGAGCAGGAGGCGGGCTTGACTGGTTTGGGCTGTCGCTCCTCTTTCACATATTCCTCAACACCCCCCCACCCCCAATTTTGGGGGAGCAGGTCAAATTTTAAACTAATGTTTTTCAAACTTGACAATTTTAAAATGTGTAGACTTCAGCTCTCACAATTCCCCAGCCAGCCTGTTGCCAAGTGTGAAAAATATTGAACTGGGAAACAAAATAGAAGGTAGATGGAGAATTAAGCTGTAAAAATCCTGTGGTGGCCAGCCCTTAAATTCTCTTTCCTGATCTGCTCAGTACTGAGGCGATTTAACACTAGAGGACAATATTCGTTTTGCCTCTGGTCTGAGTGATAGAATAAATGGAATTAGGTCAGAGTCACTGGAACTATTTTAACAAACTTGATTGCAACATTTGAACCTGCAAGATACTGTGTGATGCTTTCAGGTGTCAGGAATTCTTACATGAGGAAAGGTAGCATGTCAGGAGTTTAGTGTGCGTTACCTTCTTTAAATGTAATTCTTTTTGCATACAAATTTATCTGAAAACTAGACAATCTATGAGATCACCTGGAAATTTCAGTTTCACAGCAGTCATAGGTCCTGCATGTGTTATGCATTCTTTAAGTTAGTGGATTTGAGATATTTTGATTTAGAGGAGGAGCTACTTCCAACTACCTGTTAGCTTCCCCAATGACTTTGTGTGGGAAGCTGGCAGGGAGTGTTGGAAATCATATGAACACAACAGACCATGGTGGTGCTGCATGGTAGCGCAGTGGTACAGTAGGGGTCAATACAAATCATCTGAAAATCCCTAAAATTTCAATTCCATGGGAATCATGGATCCCTGTTTTTGGACACATTCTATAAGTTTACCCATTTGAAGTACATTGATTCAAAAAAAAATTTGTTCTACGATACACTGTTTCAACCAACTGAAGGTTACAAAGGATATACAAAAGAGTTTTAACAGTACTGTATATAGATGGCTGCTTTCTTTTTCATAAGGAAACAAATATGGAATTGTCTGGATTAATAAAGTTCATTAACCAGTTTGCAACGTATAAACTGGTTTGTGGTTGTTGAATTGCCTTTGTGTAAGACAGCTTGAAATGGTAAATGTAAAAAAAGAAAGTGGATTTCACGTAAATCAACAGAGAGATTATTCTCATATTAACTGATTCTCAGAGTGTTCTGGTGACAGAACCATCAATGTTTCCTGATTCAGAATTGAAGCACAGTGGTGAAGCATATGTTTTGATTACAGAACAGCCTAGCCTAAGATCAATCCTTTCCATCTTTTCACTAGTCTGAATCTTTGGAGACTTTGTGTCATTCATCATGCATTCTAACTGTGCATGACAAGTTCTTAAGTATGTATGCACAAACACAAAGTGTATATGTGCAAAAGCAATAACTACAATAGGAAACATTATTTTATTGTTTAAGTTTGTTGTTAAATAAACCAGAGCTAGCTAAATAAACTAAAGATAGCCTCCAGATGTTCAACTAAGTTTTCACAACATAAACACTTGTGAAGAATAATAGGAAGTTTAGTCCAAAAATAATACCTGGAAAACTATATATTAGCTATCTCTGAGGTGAATGGTAGAATGAAATTGACAAATGCAATGAACTCTGTGTATTGTAACCTTGTTCAGTCTTGCCTTGAACTATAAATATCAGGACTTCATGAATGACAGTCATATATCTACCAATTACCCATTAGTCCATATGTATAGAGGGCCATGATTATTCAGTATAAAAAGGGATAATTAAATGGTCTTTTGATTTGATGTTGCATCTTTTCCACTAGAGAGAGCAATAGCTCCTCTTTTCACTTTGGTTGGTGTTTTTCATTCTTCTATTTTCCTACCTTTCTATTTTATTTTTTTCCTAGAAAACTACTGAGGAGCTAAATTTTTGGATGAAGATGAGACATTTGTTGTTAAAGATTTCACAAATCTAATAATTATCAATTAACAATATGTATGACAGATCAAAATTAATAGAAATGTATTGTATGTTAAAAAGATAGGTTTTTTTAACACAGATAATTTAAAAGAGAAAAGGCTTTTCCAGAATTTTCCAGAATACTGCTACTGTAATTGTGCAATAATGTGCATAATGGAGGAAGATTCAGTTTATGCATTCCACTCTCTTGCAAATGTATTTGGAAATATCTTCTTAAAATGTAGCCATGTGTATTGTTTACTTTTATTGTAAAGATTTTCCTTTTTCTTAGTTACTAGGCAGAATTATCAAGATAATGTAAATTTCTTGGCCAACTGCTTCGCCAATTTTGTTTTTATGTTCTGAAAAGTATGAATTATAAATAAATTAATACTGAAATTATTTATTATTCATTTTAGAGTTGACTTTGAATCCTCCTGAAGGCATTGTAGCAGGTATGATATTCTATTTAAAAATATACCTGTATCTTGAAATTAGAAAGCCTATATTAACATAATATTTTTTTTAAATAGGGCCTATGAATGAAGAAAATTTCTTTGAGTGGGAAGCTTTGATAATGTAAGTTATTTGAATAGTGTACATTTAAATTATGGATAGACTTCCACCACTGAACATCATAAATAAAAAAAATGACTTTGTGAATTTTCTGATAATCAAAATGTCAAATTTTAGAATTCTGGAACAGTTCAGACATCTGTTTATCCACATAAGTCACTATTATGCTTGCAAGTTTATGAGTTTTATAATGCACTAATTTGTCTTAAGACAAGATTTTGTAAGCCACGGAAAGTTGGTGGCCCTAACAACTATAAGTAAATAAATAATAAAAGATAGAATTTGCTGATCAAATAGGTTTCATTTTATTTGTTCATAAATGTTTGCATTGATCTCCTCTACAATGTCTGAAAGAACCTTCAATGTTTATAGTACTATAGAAGCATTATACCAGTAATAGTTTATATACCACAGAGAAACCCAAGATGTATTCCAGATATGAAGATGCCAGTTTATCTTCCTGGATAAATTTATAATGTGGAAGAAGAATTTCATTGATGTATTATTCATTGCAAAATGCAATTTGAATACAAAAAGATGAAATTACTTAATGCAGTAGTTTTTAGTCTCTTATATTTTGTATCCCATCAGTTACTCAGTTTGTTGTTATTAAAATAATGCCATGAATGACTTGTAGTGATCCTCACTACAACTGTCATCAGTAATGAGCTAAGAGACAGGGAGCACTCTTTCAATATGGATCTGCTTTTTCAGGGAGATGGTACAATCCCATCCAAAACAGACTGTGTCCATGTTTCTTTTGATCAACTGCACTTATATTTTGTCTGGATTAAATTTCAGCTTTTTCTTTTGTATCTCTGCTATTATTGAACTTGAAGGGTACCAACTGCTTTCTTAGAATGGGTTGGTGAGGAGCAGCAAAATGGGTATCATTAGCACGCCAATTGAACTGTACTTCAAGGCTCCAGAGAATCTTCTCCTGTGGTTTCATGTAGACCGGGGTGTCAAACTCACGTCCTCATGGTGGTGTCATGTGATGTATCAGAACTTTTTTCCCCTTCACTAAACTGGGTAGGGGTGGGGCCAGCATGTGATGCCTCTAGCCCATGGGCCACGAGTTTGACACCCCTGATGTAGATGTTAACGATAATAGATAATATTGAATCTTGTAGCACAGAGTAGGTCAGTAAAGTCTAGCCCTACTAAATGTTTCAGAAAAAATATAATAAATTACAGATTTTAACTCCCAAGTGATCTAGAAAGAATAACACATCTGTATTTCACAGACATACCCTGTTTAGTTTTTTACTAGGGCATTCACCAAGTTGAAAACAGTTGCAGTGCCATGCCAACATCATCATGACTGGTTGTAGGATGGTTCATTAGCAGTATTCCTACCTTTCTGAGCCATCCAAATGCAGCAACATGCACTCACAAACAGCAGACTAGTAGATGGAGTTCCTAGTCAAAAATAATTTATATAAAGTAAGGCTTTTGGAAGCATTTAGAAGAGATGTTTATGGAGATTCTCAGTCATCCAGATGTTCTTTAGAATTGAATGAGAAGCAAAACATCTTCAAGGGAAACAAAAGTCCAGTTGCCTCTTGAAAAAACACTTTTGGAATTAAGAAGAGATGTTTTGGAAAGAATGGGAGTGTGAACGAAGTAGTTTTCTTTGAAACATTCAAGGCATATTTTTTTTGCAAGACTCACATGGATGCTTCAGAAGGTCATCCTGGCTTTCTCCATTTGCTAGGAATACATAGTTACAAGTCTCATTCTGTGAGGAAGCAGTGCTGTCTGAGAAAACACTGTTTTTCTTGCATAGTGTATGTGGGCAAAGTGAGTATCTTCCCATCTTCAATTTTCTGAAGGAGGTTGATAGAGAGGGGAGAGACCTATTGGACATTTGCTGTGCAGTAATAATAGTGTTAAACAAATTGCAAAGATCAGAAAGATTTGTAGTCATAGGTTTTTTTTCTTTAGAAATGTACTTTTTCCTTTGGCATTTGACTTCTTGATTTTTTATATTTGTAAGGCTTTTGAAATGCATAAATGCAATATAATATAGAAATACTAAAATAAATTAAAGATCCTAATTAAGTAACTGACCTGCACATTCAAATCAAATCAAATCTCTATTATGGTCAAAGGCCAACATAAAGAGGATGGGGTACAGTCAATTTAAAGGCATAGACCGGTGTTTTTCAACCTTGGCGACTTTAGGATGGCTGGTCTTCAACATTCAAAATTCCCTAGGCAGCATAGCAGTTAGCAACCTTAGCAATTTTAAGGTGGGTAGACTTCAATTCCCAGAATTCCCTAGGCAGCATGGAGTTTAGCAACCTTAGCAATTTTAAGATGGATGGACTTCAACTCTGACTGGGAAATTCTAGGAGTTGAAGTCCACCCATCTTAAAGTTGCCAAGGTTGAGAAATACTGGTACAGCCAATACATCAGACTCCACAAATATTCATAATGATAAAAAAACTAAAAATACACAACAGAAAATATAAAAAGTTCTTCACACAGTTCATGTATTATTGTTACAGTATTATATTTATGGCACTAAATAGGAATATAACTATATAACTGTTGCAGAAAACTATAAAACCAAAACTATTGTATAAGTAGTCCTTGATTTATGACCACAATTGGACCCTAAATTTCCATTGCTATGCAAGGCAGTTGTTAAGTGAGTTACATTCCATTTTATGACCCTTTTTGCCATAGTTTTAACTATGTAGTCATTAAGCAAATATGGGTCTCCCCATTAACTTTGCTTGTCGGAAACTGGCTAGAAGGGTTACCAATAGTGATCACACACTCCTGGATAGTATTACAGCGGACATAAACATATGTCAGTTGCCAAGTGCCTGAATTTTGATCATGTGCTGTTATAACTTTAAATGGTCACTAAACAAATGCAAGTTGACTATCTGTAATAACCTTACTTAAAATTATTTCCAAAATATGAGAAAAAATCATGCAGTTTCTATTGATCATTTGTTTCTTCCATATCTAATAAACTATGCTTGTTTAACTCATTTAGAATCTCATGCATGTCTAAAGCATGTCTAAAGCATATAAATATCTTTCTTCCAACAAATGAATTAATTTGACTATTAGATTATGATTGTGAATACTGTTGTATGCAAATGAATGCATTGAACTTTATGCAGGCTAATACGTTTTTTCTATTTCTTATCAGAATATCTTAGATTTGGAATTGATGATTTGTTTAAATCTTACTGTTCATTATGATAACAATGTAGGCACTGGGCATTGTTGGAACTTGGTTTACCCTACAGCTAATTTTTAAAATAATAAGTACAACTTTAATACAATATCTCCAAAGGTTATCTAGATATATAATTGTATGTTTTAGTTTATATGATATGTGAATTTGTTTCAACTTGGAATTCCCCTTTGTGCATTAGGAAGTGGAAGGATAAAATAAAAACAGAAGAAATAAGCTTCCTTATGAACATAAAACCCTGATTATCTCATTAACTGACTTCATGTAAATGTTTGCCTATTTAAGTATATCATTGCACAAACACTCTCCACCTTTTTATTTTCTTTAGCAATATTTTAATTTTGTATAATGCAAGTTGTAGTCAAATGTTTTGTGTATATTCCAAGATACATGTATTATCTGATGACTGCATAAAACTAATATTCTGAGGTGTTCCATTGTGTCTCTTGTTATTTCAGATGAAATCATTGATTTATAATGAAAACTCTTGCAGTTCTTTTTTTTTTACATTAAAAATAATTTATTGTAAAACTTCAGTTTTTGACTTCCAAGATGTGATGAACACCCCTCATAAAATGATAGAAACAAACTGTAGACAGTTGATTCAAAAACTACCATTTTAGGTTTTTTTAGAAACATTTACAAAATGCATGTTAAATATAAAAATAATATAAGATAATATTTATGTGAAATTATCAATATTTGTACCACATAAATTTAGTTTCAAACAAGATTATCTATTTGAATGAATACTATAGCAAGATTCTATCAAATGGTATCAGTTTCATTTAGTTGAGGTCAGTTTTTTTTCTTTCTACTTTCCTTTTGTATGGTGAGCCAGACTTAAATACAATAACATTAAATAACAATAGAAAATCACAAATTGCTTAGTGTGCAGAAGCCTATATTCGATGCCTGGCTTTAATGTAATAACTCTTTGTAATTGAATACACCCAAATATAATGAAGCTTTGTTTTGAACAAATATATATTCTTTCATATCATTGTAAGGCCTAGTCGCTGATACACCTGAGAAGATAAAAGTTGGGGTCCTTGGGCAGGAGTATACTTGGAAAGAATTAAAATTAGAATTAGAAATTAGAAAATTAGAATTACAAAGATTCAAAGCTGTTTATGTAAATAACATTCAAATTATATATTGTATGTTAATAGATACAATATATTTTACATTGTCTTAAGGAATATGAAGATGCAGTAGTAGGAAATATTTAAATTGGCCTTTTCCTTGCTAATTTAAATATAAATTATTGGGGCAGATTAGTTGTACCTAGATATGCTGTTGGAGACATGCACAGAAGGAATATGGTGAGAGTAAAAGGGTAGGAAAAGAGAATCAGTATTGTACCACTAGGCGGAAAAAGGTTGTACTACTAGGTTCTCAAAAAAAAAAGTGAACTTGAGAATAGGGCTTAATAATTATGTTGGATGTACATACTATATTGGACACAGGATAGCAATAAATGTAAGTCAGGTGAAATAAATGAAGGCTTTGTTGAAATAAAACTTGAAGAACATGGTAGATCTATAAGAGAAATTAGAAGAAAAGAGAGGAAAAAATGATGAACTATACGATAAGAGCTATATGATGGTGATATTTTTTCACATAGTAATCTAGTTTTCTACAGATAAAACTCTTAAAGAAACCTGTGTGGATGCTTTCCCATTAATGATTTTAGTTGCTAGTATGTACTTATATGTTTCTAGTGTGTATTATCTTAACACAATCATTTAAAAACATTTTGGATGCGTTCCTTATGCTAGGATAGCGTGCATTTCTTAAATATGAATATTGAAGTTGCTTTGACTTGATGGGTTACATTTTATTGCATACATCTTGTCATGAGGCCATGACTAAAGTTATTTCATAAGCCTTGGTTATTTAAAAACTTTTAAATTGCAGCTTTTGACACCTTTGTCCATGTTGAATAAGCTGTGCTCAAAGCACCATTTTCAGCGCTTGCTAGCAATATTTCTTGACGTGCAGGTACTAAAATCTGGAACATGCCTTGGAGACAGATTGAATATAATTAAATAAACACACCCTAGCAATTATGTAGTATTGTGACCTTCCTTATAAGTTAAATGTACAAGCTTTGATTTCTCAGCCCTTCAGCTTTTTGTTTTAGAGTAGTGGTAATGATATGTGAATGTTTAGCCTAAATTCCTTTCAGCTTCTTTCCTGAAATAAAGTAATCTGATGAAATTGGTATAGATTTACTGGAGGGACTGTTTAGTGCAGAACTGTTGTGCTGTAACTATTAACTGATAATGTAATGCAGGATGATTGGTGGAGAGCAGAGGCTTGCTATCTTTTTTTATCAGTTCTGTTATCTGTATTTTATTTAAATATCTGCTTTTGGCAAAAGCTAAATCAAAAGAGAATTCAGTAAAAGCTGAAATCTATGCTCTTGCAAAGTTCTCTTAATGTTTCAGAATTTCACTAGAACATTATGTAAAGTTTATTAAAATAATTAATAATATAGAGGTGGTTCCAGCTAAGAAATTATGAAGTTTTGTATCACTAGTCCTAGCCATATTTGAATAAGAAGAGACTTATACTTTAAGAGAAGCTGCGTTGATTTAAATCATACCATACATATTCTCTTTAGATAACTCAGACTGTCATTAGTTAGGAAAAACACTTTTCTAATAATTAGATAGCCAGTTTTATTTATTTTTTAAATACAAGTTTAAAATTTATGGTAGTTATACAACCATACCAATTTAGGGGACTTTTCTCATTTGCATCTAACTGTAACACAGATATGTGTTACATATTTAGGATCTAATGTTATTATCCCCAAGCACTCTGTTTCACAGTCAGAATGATTCCTTTCAAGGATGAAATATTAGTAAGTTGGAAGGGCATTGTCATACTTCTGGTAAAGTTTGAATGGGATGTTTTACAGGTAGAATATTTTGACATTGAAACAATTTGTACACCTCTAGGACAGGGATGTCAAACTCATGGCCCTCTGTTATGGTTACATGAAAACAGACTTTAAATTTAATACATATCAGTAGAAAAGCTTTGAAATGCTACAGATTGTATATAATTCATTTGTGTGTCACTGATTTAATGTTTGTTTATTTAAAAGTATTAAATAGCTCCAGACTTTAAAATTAATTCTTTCTTTCTTTCTTTCTTTCTTT